AACCCCAAAGACCCTTAACAAAGCCAGTGAGACCAGCTTGCCCTCTCTTAGCCTGATCACCCATTTTATGCGACAGATCAGGGAATTCAACCATGTTAAAGGCCAGATCGAAGAACAAAGGTTTGCATGGAATGCTGTGCATCAGTGGTGGCAGTTTATAAACGTTTGGTTGCTTCGTGAGAAGCGCTGGATCTTCTCTATACTCGTGCAAACGTTCATACAATGGTTTCTTACTTTTAGCAAGCTTACTAGTTCCACTTTCTTCTTCTTGACCATCTTCCAAAACGCTGTGAGCATGAGCAGCATACTGCGCAGCCTCCACAGAGGTCTCCAATTTGTACAAAGCTTCCTTGAGTTCGACTGGAAGAATCTTATCGTATTTAAGTGCGTCTTTAACATGTTGCAGTGATCTTTGATACAAGGCCATAGCCTCACGCCAACGATGCAAGTTGGCGAGGCTCTGGGCCATATAGAAACATCTAAAGGCCCTGTAACATTTTGTCTTTGCTTCCTGTTCCTCCAAGAATTCTGTATCATCTTGCAACTGAGATATCTCCACAAGATTGTGCAACGCTGCTTCGTACAGGCGTACTATATCCTGCGGCTTGGCTTTCTCCGATTCCTCTGCCGCCTTCACCAGCGTCAGATTGCGTTCCAACGTGCGAGACAATCGGATATACTGCAGATAATTGATCAGATGTTGCTGTGGTGACCACTTGTCATTCTCCTTGCTCTTCAACTCGTTTTTAAAATGATCACGCACTGCCAATAGAGCATCTTTACAATCTATCAAATGCGCCTCCAGCAGATCGATCTTCGCCTGATTGGTGGCAGCCCTTTCCAGAGCTTGATTCAGCCTAGAGTCTGCAATGATCAGACCAGCTGCTCGTGGTGGCACCGTACCGCAGGATTTTCCACGCCATGTCACTTCCTCAATATTAGCTTGCTTTTCCCGCGTCTGAGCTATCAGAGAATCTAGGCTGGCCATCAATTCGCCGCTCAATTGCCCGCGCATTTGCATAAGATCATCCATAGCACTGATGTCTCCAATGTTATAAGCGCAGTATCTAAGACTAGGTGCTAATTCCTCCACTCGCGCCTTATATATGACCTGTTCTAATTCTGGCAACGCAGATGCCAGATTACCATATACCACTTGGGCCTTCTTCAAGTTTTCCATAGCCTGTTTCCACAGTTGCAATTCAAACTGCAGAGAACCATTCATCCAGGCTACATATGCCTGAGCCTCCAGTTTCGTACGCGCATCACAATTTATATTCTAAACAGAGAAAACATAATGAAACCATAAAATATAGTCTTGGCAATTACATAGAAATAATTAATGAAAAAAAAATGAAGAAATTAAGATATACAGCCAAAAGTTTTTGACCAACATAATTTTACAACAATTTTTTATCAATCTATTTTTCAATTTATACTCAAATGAAATTCTTGTTATAATTAAAAACACAATATTTTAGAATATATTAAAATATTTATATCCTAAAAAAATGTACCTCTATTAGATCTTGCAATTGTAAAGAGTACACAGCTGCTTTCTTGAGTCTCGATATCAGATGAAACTTCTTTCTTGGCTCTGTATTAGATTCCTGACGTAGCTGCATCGCATAACTCCACGCGCGCTCGGCCATCATCAAGGGCATTTGTAAAAATTTATCCTCACTAATCATAGCCGCAGTGATATCTCTCCTCTTGAAATGACGTCTGTCACCCTGCGGCACCTTCAACACTTTCCGCAATCTTCTCAGCCTTCTTGAGCAATAACCGCGATATCGCTGGTAATCACCATGTCTCAACCCATGTTGTTGCTGTGCTTCCTTGATTATCTTTAGAACTATATGTTTATCAGGAATTGATAAGGACAACAAAAATTGAAATTATATAAATTAAATATATGAATCAAAATCAATTTTTAAATTAAGAAATTTTTCGCTGTGTTAATTAACTATTGTTATGTTTGTATTGTGTTAGCATCATCAATTTGATCAGTTTAGCAAACATTTAACACTAGAACCATCGATAGTACTATTTTGGCTTCGTTAATCATTTCCATTTTTCTTTTTTATATTAAATATATAGTACAAGATATTGAAAATATAAATAATTTTAATGCTACAACTCTGTTAATTATTTAAATTTTTTTTTCTTCTGTATTAAATATATAGTACAGAATATTGAAAATACATGTGAATACATGTAATATAAATTCTAATGATACTGGACGTTCTCCAAGAGACACAGTATAACACAGTAAATTATTTCATCATTGTTTAATTAGGTACTCTATTTGGTGACAAGTCAACAGAAATATGATTCTATCTTTGTTACTTATGATCAGGCAAGAAAGACAAAATGTTGTGTTGACTTATGTTACTAAATAGAAAATATCTATTGGCAAACAACATATAATGATTTACTATAGACAAGTTCTACTTGCACAACACTTATGAGAATTATTTATTCTTGTTTGACATTCTTGTTTGATAAATAATATATACATAAATAATAAGGATGAAGTTATTCCAAGAGTGTTAGAAGCATCAAATAGAATGTAATTTATTGATGTTTTTCAGCAAGAGGCACAGTGTAACTTGTGTAACACAATTTCATATTTGCTTAACATTGGCAAATAATAAAGATGTAGACATTTTCCAGCAATAGATAAGTAACACAGCATAACATAGTGAAATATTATCTTTAATACTTGCAAACAACAAGAACATAATAATATAATCTATTCCTTGCTAGAAAAAATTCCATATTGATTGTTTTCCTTGTTGGAAACACTTATAAATAATACCAAATTTCACTAATCGAAAGCAAAGATAAGAAATTATCAAATTGGCATCTTTGACAATTCTAGCAGGATATTATCAATGATTTTAATATGTGTTGATAGATTAATATCCCAATTCCCAATAATAAACTCGCGACAGCAAGAGGTTACGAAGAAGCATATGGTATAGTTCTGTCGGAGAACAATTTTCACGAAAGGATACTCTCCAGGGAATATATTCTCGGCTCTTTTGTCGTAATTCCATTTTGCGTTTGATTTTCCTTCGAAAGATCCAGCTTTTCTTCGATTACCATTTTTCTTCAAAATCACGTACTCTTATCTTTCACTATATCCTTGTAAAAAAAAATAATAAAATATGTATATCCATGATATCAGAGAGAATTAAGAGGAGAGTGGAGCGGATTCATCCATGGACGTATAAATATCTGGAAAGACTAGAAACTGGACGGAGCGTAAAGCTAGCTTATGGGCAAGGAGACCGAGATCCGCGCGGCAGGGAAGTCAGCCATCTTGTCTGGCAACATTTTAGCGCTCTATTAGAAAATCGATATATGTATTATGATATTATTTGCATTTCCAGTGCATAAAAATAGGATTTTATGTGAAGCAAAGTTAATTCAATGGTTGTGTGCAATTAAAAATAATTTTCTGTTTATATTTTAAAAAATAATGAATATATATACCTATTATGTCTTTTAATATAAACCGAAAATTATTTTCAATTGCACACAGCCATTAAATATTTACAAATCAAGTTATTAAAAAAGGAGCCAAGTTAATTTAATGCTAAACTAGAGAGAGAGAGAGAGAGAGAGAGAGAGAGAGAAATAATATAAAACTAAATTTCATATAATTTAACAAACATTTCGTTCTATGCAAGATCATAATTAACATTACAAAGAATCGGTAATTGCAAGTAGTAACAAGTAATTAAGGTCGCATAAAAATCTTAATAAAATCCAAAATCATGTTAAACATTATTAACATAAAATATATAATACTGCCTTGAATTTTGTATTAATAATATTTTAATATGACATTAGATATTATATTAGAATTTTAATTTTTATATGACTTTAATTGTACTCGAAATTATCAGTACGTTGTGACATTGATAATTTACCCTTATGTAGATTGAAACGTTTATTCAATTATATGAAATTTAATTTCATATAATTAATTAATTTCATATTATTTCCGGATTAGCATTAAGGTGATTTATTGACTCGTAGTCTCTTTTTTATTATTTATTTTATATTATTATTATTTATTTTATATTGAATCTTTATTTTTATTGTTTAGATTATAAATATGTACCAATGAAAACTTATTTCGGCATTTTTTTTGCTCTTGATTAATTTGCTCTTTAATTTTTCTTTAGCTTTTATTACTACAGCCAATTGCAATATAATATGGCATTGTTGATGTTTTATTTTAGAAAAATATAAAATTTTGTATGCGCAATATTAGTTGCTTTCCATTTGCACACAAGTGAAACTGAGCTAAGTATTTCATACTCAGATTAATGACGTCATTATTTACTTACCAAGTATGTAAATATGAAACCGGAATTTACCAATAGATGGCCATAGTTATCAATGTAGTTGCCGTCAGACGACATCATTGACGCCATTTTCTTCTTCTGACAAAGATTTTCAACTCACAACAATACAAATTTCATACAACAGTATAGTTTGTAATAGTGTTGAATTTTGTGTCTGAAAACTACGATTTGCGGACAGCATTGATTTTCTGATACCATTTGAAGAAAACTGCTGCAGAATCGCATCGAATGCTTGTCGAAGCTTACGGTGAGCATGCTCTTGCTAAATCACAGTGCTTTGAGTGGTTTAAAAAATTCAAAAGTGGCGATTTTGACGTGAGAAACGAAGAACGTGGAAAACCCGAAAAAGTTTGAAGAATTGCAAGCATTGTTGGATGAGGATGACGCTCAAACTCAACAACAACTCGTGGATCAATTGAATATGACACGAGAAACCGTCTCCATATGTTTGAAATCCAGAGAAAGATCCAGAAGATGGGAAAATGGGTTTCACATGAACTGAATGAAAGGCAGCAGGAAAACCGAAAAACCACTTGCGAAATGCTACTCGCCAGGTACAAAAGAAAGTCATTTCTCCATCGAATTGTGACTGTCGATGAAAAATGGATATATTTTGAGAATCCTAAGCGTAAAAGATAACTCCAGATGAACCATCGACATCGATTGCAAGGCCAAATCGCTATGGACGGAAGATAGCTCTGTGTTTGATGGGATCAGAAAGTTGATCTATTATGAACTGCTACCTGGCGAAACCGTTAATACTGAACGCTATCGACAATTTGAATCAATCTTTGTATGAAAAACGATCGGAATATCAAAAAAGGCAACACAAAGTGATTTTGCTTCATGAATGCACCATACAGCAAAACTGGTCAAGAAAACGATTGAGGCATTTAGTTGTGAAATACTTTCGCATGCGGTTTACTCACCAGACTTGGCTCCGTCTGATTACCACTTATTTGCATCGATGAGACACGCACTTCCTCAGCAGCGCTTCACTTCTTACGAAGATGTACGAAAATGGCTAGATGACTGGTTTGGCTCAAAAGAGCAACAATTTTTTTGGCGTGGCATCCACAAATTGTCAAACAGATGGAAAAAATGTATAGCTACCGATGGGCAATACTTCGAATAAAATATTTTTTATCATTTTCATGCAATAAACGTATATTTTCTATAAAAAAATTCCGGTTTCATATTTACATATCTGGTAGTTCGGTAAAAAATTATCATAGACAATACAGGTTTGAACCTGACTTTTAAAGTGAGTTTACGAGATTCACTATAAAAACACACGGTCTCGATCTTATGCAGATTATAGACAAAAACTCGATTAAATCTTACTTGTCAGAATGCGCTTTCAAAGGAACACACATTCAACTGAGTTATGACATTACAATTGAGAATTATCTGAAAATCGGTGTAAAAGCAACTATTATTCTCGTCACGATATCCAGCAGCGATATCACACACAGGCTGCGAAATTTCATTTCACATATGAAGCGGATGATGCATCATTTGCTTAATATTCCTATATTCATCCTTGCTTAATATTCGGTGAATAACAAGGATAAATAATGCGAGAAACAGAAGGCAATTACAGATAAAGCGGGGAACCAGACTCTTAGAAAACGCATAAAACATGAGAAGTAAGAAAATCAATCAGAGTCCTTTATTTCACGGAAAGGAAGGAAATAAAGGATTTCGATTGGTTTTCTTATGCATTCTGTGTTATGCGTTATGCAAGAGTCTATGTTTTTACTTTATTATTTTTAAATGCGTTTTTGAAATATAAAAATATAATATAACAATATAATATAATATTTAATAAAATAAAATAATAAAATAAAATAAAAAATAAAATAAAATAAATAAAATAAAATAAATAAAATAAATAAAATTAGCAAAATTAAAAATAAAATAAAATAATATTAATACAATAAAATA